TCCCCCGTGTAAAGTCGAAACTTCCCATTCGTATGAATGGATTTTTAGTGTCTGGTCATGGGCTTGGTTGTCGACTTGCCCTGGGAGCGAAGAAGGATCCCAGGCCCTCCGTCCTCCGCTGGCGAACTACACTGGCCGCACTTTGTTGTCTAATTCAATTTCATTGTCTGTTTGCCCATTAGTGCGATTTTCCATGTGTGACGAGCGTGGATCCCTTTGCTGCCTTCCTCCCACCCGGAAGGTCTTTCAACAAAAAGAGAAAAAACCCAAGCTTAATGAAATTTTCATGTTTCATTGGGAAAGCCATTTGGCCTGCTTTATATTTGATTGCTGGTCGAGCAAAGATACGTTTACGTATATATGGGGTATATATGTACCTGGCCACAATAAAAGTGCCCTTGGTTAATTGTCAAAGGTGAATAGGTAGAGGAATAGAAAGACAGAGGTGGATAGAAATTGCAATTAGTTGCAGAACCCAACGACCCAACCCAAAATTGCATTTGCAGTTTTGTGTGAGCCCGCAGGTGAAGTGCTGAGTTAACAATTTATGAGATACAAAGATGCAAATGCATGCAACCTGAGGCGGCTTAGTGTGTGCCAGTGTGTGGGCGGCCAACTTAATTGAGCGTATTAAGCCAACAAAAGCAGCTGCAATAATACACATATCAAGCATACGCAGCGTTGGCTGCTTTCAGCAATTCCCCATTGACAATTGCTCGCAGTTCGGTTGATTAAAATTGCAATTAGGCATTGCCTTGGATTGAAGGAAATGCCGCTGCAACCAGCAGCCAAATATCCCCAGAAAGGAGCTTGGGCATCCGGATGGGGGGAAATTGCCGGGACTGCAATGGAAATATTCCCCATCAATAGAAGCTATTTCAGGCATGTCAGCCATGTAATTGTTGTCTGCATCCGCACTTCCTCTCCAGCAGCTCCATCTCCTCGTAATGGTTCACTTTGAGCGCCTTCTCGCGCCGATTTAATGAGCCAATCGAGCCGATGTCGCACTGAGAATATATCTATAGATACAGATAGATCCCAGCGCATCAACACGTTCGACGCGGCGTGTTAATAATTAAATGTTTCCGCCAGTCGACGCTCCATTTTAACTATGCCACGTCAATGAGATTAGCGACAGGATGTGCAAGCTCCCCACTTCCCCGACCTGGATCTATATCCATATTCCCCTGCTTTCTGTCGGTTTTACGGCTGCTTTGTATCGCAAACGCGTTAAATCAATTGGCTGGCATTGTTTATAGCATCCTGCGCAATTGTCAGCCAGTGTCGAGTGATTAGTGGACCCAGGCAATTGGTCCCCTTCTAAGCCACTTGCAAAACGGCATGGAAATTGAATACCAAACCGACAAAATCAACGCTGATTTATAAATTCATTTGGGAATTCATTTAAGTCCTATTTAATGAGCAATGGTACTTAATTATAAAAGTATTTTTATTTAATGTTAGTATATATCTCTTATTTAACTTAAGTTATAATCAGCCCAGGAAATCAGTAACCATAAATCAAAAGAACACTTAAAAAACACCTATGAATCGGAAATTATTAAGTGTAAAAAACCATTAAAAAATAGTTTGAGGATGGCAAAACAATTTTTATTTCTTTTCTGAGATCTTCCCCTGATCTGTCACACCTAAAAGCTATTTTGATTGGACAGACCCTACCGAATTGATGGCCATTCTAGGGCCCTATATCCTCTTCTAAACGACTCGGCTTACCCAAATATCGGAACCCAAACTCGTAAGTTTTGCTAATTAAAAAGGGTAAACTCTGCTCGCCACGGCTGACGCATCAAAGGCCATTAGCCGATAAAGCGGACCCCGAATGCAGACCCCAAACTCCAAACTCCAGAGACTGACACATCGACATCGCTCCAAGCCAAGCCCAAAAAGGCAGACACACAAAGACTTATTCAAACGCTGAGAACGGAAATGCTCCAACATCAAAATCAAAATGAGCCGCAACATACAGAAAAAAAAAGAGAACAGAAAAAAATAACAAATCTGGAAACACTTTTGCCCCGGTCGAAATGTGTGTATTTTGTTCTCCGTTCTTTTGTTGCCAATTAACAGAAAGATTGACACTTTCGTTTGAAAACGATATACAAGACAGCGTATTGCAATTTAGAATTTGTCAGGGGTTAAAAGGAGGAGGGGCGTTGCTGGTTGTGTTTGTGTGTGAGAAATCACACGCCGATTTGACAGTTTCCCTCGGTTTTATACAGATAGCCCCCCTCCTATGTCGATATATATCTGGCCTTGGCCATTTGTAATCTGCGCTAATGACAGGCTGCCAGTGGAATGTATCTGTATCTTTGTATCTCCGGGTATCGATAGCCAATCTTTGTATCCAAATCAATTCGCACAACTGCCGCTGACAACTTGACAGATAACATTGTGTCACATTTGGTTTTTCTTACGCTCAGCTATGTGATTAGTGTTTGAATATTAAGAGAATTTATCAACCTGAACCGCGTGATTTGCGAATTGATTGACAGATAAATAGATAGTATTGAAGATCTAGTGATTAAAGGTTTTTTATTAGCTTTAGTATGCCATTTAGTTAATAATTATGTATAATATAAGCCTTTTTCGTAACTGCAAAATAGACCCAGTAAATTGCAGCTTTTATTCCACCAAGTTTATTCATATTTAACTTCACTGGGCCAGGCCAACAGTCATATTAAATTGTATTTCATTAACTAAAAGCTTACTCGTACACAGGAATAAAGAGCAGTGGCAACAATTTTCTTTTTTCCAAGTGGGCGGAAATCCCAACCAGTCCATTAGGGGCAGAAGTTCCACAAATCCCAGCAGGGGAAAACTTTAGCAGCAAAGTGATTAAATTTCGCTAGGAATAACAATAACCATAACAATACTTTCATGGCTGCCATTTCCTCATTTCTTTTTCTTGCTGCAGGTCACGTCCTGGAATTGGCGCAGATTTCGGAGAACAAGACCCACTCCCTGTTCTCGAAGGTCTACTCCCGCATGGTTCCGCCCTCACGGATGATTATCCATCAATTGTACAACGAAATCATGAAGTAAGTGGGGCTGGACTACTATTCTCTATTTATTTAACATCTAAACTATAATATTTTTATAAGGAATTTAATTAATTTGAGTTCTTTCTCCTTTAGCCATCTAAATTACGCCTCGAACTATACGAACAGCAATGGACAGGTGAGCAGGCGAGGATTGGGAAGTGTCCAGAGCAACCTGGAGGAGGCTGTGAGGAGCTTCTTTGTCCAGCTCTTCCCGGTGGCTTACCACCAAGTGGTGCATCTCTCGAAGGAGCAGTATGGTGACCTGCACGAGGACTATGTCAACTGCCTGCAGCACAACTTCGACGAGCTGCATCCCTTCGGGGACACTCCCCGCCAGCTGCAGGACAGCCTGGGCAGGGGTGTCTACATGTCCAATGTCTTCATGAACGCCCTGCTCCAGGCCGCCGAGGTCCTCAGCGAGGCCGATGCCCTCTATGGCAAGCAGTTGACGGACACGTGCAAGGTGCAGCTCCTCAAGATGCACTACTGCCCCCACTGCAACGGCCACCATGCGAAGAGCGAGACCATCTTGTGCGACGGCTACTGCAAGAACGTGATGCGGTAAGTCGGAATGGGGAGTTAGGAATTGGAAAACAAGATCTTATAACAATAAAGTTATTACTTTTTAATTTAATGACAGTACTTTTTGGGGGAATTTTATTTGATTAGTTTAAAATTTAAAGATACTTCTTCTTGGTTATAAAATAACGTCAACAGTATTTGTTAAATTTCTTATAATTTAATTTTGTCGAAATAAGTATATAGTAGGAAGTCGAATACTATAGATTAGATTAGATAAGAACCAATGATTTAATTTTTTTTTAATATCTGAAATATGATCGGATAGGTCACAGTTTGCAATGCATGCCTTCCTAACTCTTATACTTTATGTATTTCTTTTATGATCTCCAGAGGTTGTTCGGCGGAATATGCTGGTCTATTGGACGGTCCCTGGTCGAGTGTGGTGGATGCCCTCAATAACCTGGTGACCACCCATCTTCTCTCGGATAGCGGCATCATCAACGTCATCAAGCGCCTGCAGACCTATTTCTCCGAAGCAATTATGGCCGCCATGAACAATGGCCCCGATTTAGAGCAGAAGGTGAGTGAAACCATTCCTCAACAAATTTATAATTTAACTAAAAATAAAATTAATAGTTTTCAAAGCTAAGAAATTACATACATACTGCCTATTAAATGATTTTAAGCATTCTGAAACAATCAGTTTTTAAAATCACATTATATTTATACCAGAAGATACCTTTCGAGGACACTGCTCTTCTCTTTTTTTCTGACATCTATCTGAAGATCCGATCGATTTCGTTAACTGGTGCCCCAAGGACACGTTCGTTTAATGGTTTAATTGCCAGTTAATTTATGAACATTTTAAATGAATTTAATGAATCGGAATTTAGTTCCGGCCTTCGAGCCTTTTAAAAATATCTTTGGCATTTCGAGGTCTTGTTAAGCGTGCACATGACATCCAATTGATACCCCTTTTGCATGGTTGCCATGTTGCAGGGAATTTAAAATGCTAAATTAGAGGGGAGTTGGAGGAGTAAATTCGAGTTGAGTTCCCCACCAGAAAGCTGCAATTTCCATGCATAATAATGGGTCAGGCGAGGGGAAACACGTGCGCCTCGCATGAGTGGCGGCGATTAGCAAGTGGAAGTGGAACCTGAACCCCAACCCGAACCCCAAACCCCCTTTAAAACGGAGCACCACATGGACTACAATACCTTTCCCCTTTGTTTTCCAGGTGAAGAAGACCTGCGGCACGCCCAGCCTGACGCCCTATTCGACCGGAGATGCTGAAGCACGGCCTCCCACCCACAAGAACATCAAGTGGGCCACCGACCCGGATCCCGACATGGTCATCTTCCTTTCCACCATCGACAAGAGCAAGGAGTTCTACACGACCATCGTGGACAAGTGAGTACTCGCAAACGATGCCACAAAATGTATTTGATAAGGGTGGCTTTTAACATTAACTACATTGACTGACCAAGCTATGACTTAAAACGAGGTAATATCCTGGGGAAATCTAGCGCTTCTTGGGCCCAGTGATCATGGCTATCACATCCTTCAGCAGGCAGAAGTACAACGGCGTCACAATGGCAACAAAGAATATCAAATTGGCGAAGAACCCATTCTGCACTGGCACACGACAGCCCTGAAAAAGACAAAAATTTGTTTACTACTTTAATATGCCCTAAAAATTAGAGGTGTAGTAATAAAATAATATTCTAAGAATATTTAAAAAATATTCCTATTATTATCCTAAAGCTCAAAATCAGATGTTTCGTTAAAATGTATATGTTTACACAACAAATTAAGCAAAACAATGATGTGAGCTCATCCATGTTTTAAGCATATTAATGTTCTCAAAAATCGAAATGTTGTATTATAAAAATTCGTTGGAAATAAAGCAAACAATTTCGAGTATTCCCTTAGCCATTTTCAATGGAATCGTGATCCACAAATACCCAAAATTGGGTTAGCCAATGATCTAATTGTATTGAAATTTATAAAAATCTATCGAGTACAAGAACATTTTTTGTGGGATTTTTTAGTACAAAACTTACATGCCGAGGTGGCGGAGTCACTGGACGAGCCAAGCAAAAGTCGTGGGCCATACGATGCATCCACAAAACGAGCTCCTTAAACATTTTGTTTATTTTTCTTTTTTGTGGAGTATATATAAGGGAATCAACACACGAAAGATGTTTTGTCAGACTTGTAAAACGAAATAATGAAAGTTAAAACACAAGCTAACTGAGTTTTTTATACATTTGTAATTTAACAGCTTCTGTGACGAGCAGCACTCTCACGAGGATCGCTCCTGCTGGACAGGCGACCGCTTCGGGGACTACACCCAGCTGCTGATTAACCCGGGGACCGATAGACAGCGATATAATCCCGAGGTGCCCTTCAACTCGAATACTCAGGCCAGCCAGCTGAACGAGCTGGTCGACAAGCTCATCAAGATCCGCAAGAACATTGGAGCTGCGGTAGGATTGGACTATATCTCTGATGGGTGGATTATTATTAATTTTTATATATTCTTTAACAGGCACCTTCCAACAGCATACAGGCGTCGCACGACATCCAGAATGATATGGCAGAGGGCTCCGGCGGTGGAGAGGGCCAGATCGGCGACGACGAGGAGGAGTACGGAGGCGCACATGGTTCCGGAGATGGTTCCGGCGATGGTAAGCTACTTATTCCAACTTTTGGTATCCCATTAGAACGTCTTTTTCGCGCTTAATACCATACTATTCTTTATAAATATAACATACAACAAATATATGAAAATATCTAAGTCAGGATCGAAAAGATTAAAAACGATAGCAGCTAGCCTGTATAACTAACCGTTTAATGTTAATAGAAAAAGAGTTTTATGTTAAAATCAAAATCTTTATAAAGTATCTAAGAGGAAATAGCTCTCGGAAATAGGTTTTATTTAATATATCTTTTATTAACTGTTTCAGGATCCCACACACCCATCGAGGACACCGAAGGCACCACGACCAACGAAGTGGAGTCGCGCGACAGCGGCAAGACCAGTGGGTCCAACCCACTGGAAGCCACCGCGACGTGGATGCTCCTCACTCTAGTCACAATGCTCTTCAGTAGTTGTAGTTAAGGATGCTGCCCCACCCGAGGGAGCGAACACAAAAACAAAATGTGCCCCATTGCGGGGGCAAGAAAGAATTGAATGGTACCACAACAAGAGCAACAGCAAATGCACAAGAATCGAGTTAAATCATTAATTAATAACTATTATCATTATTATTATTATTATTTGTGTAATTCTTAAGTTGTTACAAGTAATTTATTAGGCCCTAAGCGCATTCATCTAGCAATCGACTAACAATCTACACACCAGAAGCGAAACTTGAAACTTGAAACTGGAAACCCTTGAAGCGCACCTCTCTCCTTCTAGCTTTTCCAAATTTAGAGCTCATCGAATTTCCATGCCGAATCCAACTAGACTTGTGTGCCATATAAACGTGTTGGAGGTTTGCATACGAATCGAGCAATTGCTAAACATAAACTATACGAAAATTAAACAAAATAGGCTCAAACTGAAGCATAAACCCTTTCCATAGAGTGTGCAGTTTGTTCGGATACATGTTAATACTTATACATAGCGTACGGTACAGTAAAGCTCAATGTTCAAAGCAAGTTGTTCCTTTTTCGGTGTAATTAAGCAAGTAAACAGCAGCAGGAAATCAGAGGCGTGGCACCACTTTCAATGGCTAGTTCTTGGACCGATCACAAAACAAATATTATACGTAAAGGATATAAATCTGTTAGCTGTAGCCTCAGTGAATGTTAAACTTAAACGAAATTATTGTTGTCTACACCTTTCGAACTGAAATTGATCAATTGGGTAATCGACGCGAGATGCATACGAATGGAATTTAGTTGAGTAAACGCACTTTACGGAAAAACTAGAAGACTTACAGCTTTATACGCAAATGAAAAATCGAAAAAAAAAACAGAAAACAGAAAACGAAACGGAAAACGATGAAAATCTATTGATATATACGTATATTATATGTAGCATTATTTAAATTATATGAACAAAGAGGGAAGACCTTGGGGAAATGTCATAAAATGCATTCAGCTAATTAGAGTTTACAGAGCACTTGGAGTTCTGGGAGAAAGTGCAGAAAATGCAGAGTTCAGCGCACAATTTGCATATTCGCAATCTGCAATTTCAATCGAAACTATTGTTGCAATCTAACGGATACTTTACAGTGGGGCAGAGCGCTGCTGAATCAAATCCAGAGAGCAGCGCTGGCGACACTCTAAAAAACAAATAAATATATATATATATACAAATGAATATGAAATATGCATTAATACGAGTACGACGCCAGCGATAAGAATGAAGTCTATATATATAAACAAATATATATATATATATATATATACACATAAATGAATTAACTAATTAAATCGTAATTATATGCTAGTGCGTAAACTGTAACGATTAGCCCGTAACGTGTAAAAAGCAAACAGTTGACCGATAACAACAAATTTAGTTAGTAGCAAATTAACAAATGATAAATGCCAACTGCCGCCGCAAACATCAAATTGGCATATTATATCGCATATACACTTCGATCCGATCGAGATCCGATTAGATCGCTGGTGTGCGGACGCGCTGGTTGAACTATGTATAATTATTATTTGTATCATTATTATTTAACTATTGCATGTGATTAATAATATTTAAGTTAAACGTAAACGCAACATATTAAATTGTAACTTATGTATACCGCAAAAGCAGCCGCAATGTGCGAGCGAAAATCATCGTTGTAAATCTATTCGGAGATAACCAATGCGAAACGAAAATTGCACTAAAAATAAATGTACTACTTTTAGATGCCTAAAAACCAATAAATAATTATGTAACAAGAAACGCAAGTCCAACAAGTTTATTGACAGCTAGGCGCAATAGTGCTATGAGTAATTGAGTGCAACGGCAGAAAACGAAAACGAAATCGAAATCGAAAACTTTTGTAAATTTCATTTAAAACCTGAATAAACGTCAATATTTGAAATTCAAAATTTGCGCGGTCTTTTCTTGCAGTCGGGGTGGCAACGCTATAAGCTGAACAAATCACCATGATTAGAGGTGAGTTTGCAAGACTGGAAACATCCTAGACACGAACCATGTATTGGTATTTAGTACCTATGCAGGGAAACGGCGGCCTTGTATTTTTTATCTCTAACGGCGCGGCCACACTGCACATCAAACGCATTTTTGGCGGGAAGCATTTTCACTATTTTCCCCGCATTTCCCAGCAATCAGCGTCTCTGAAAACATCTTTGGCACCAAAACACAAGCAGCTGTACTCGATCTATTGCCCATTGTTGATAATACAAAAGAAACAAGCGCAAAATGGCTCGACGAGACTATGCCCAGGATCGAGGTGAGTGAAATGTGAACCTTTATTTTCAGAGGCAAAAACAAGCAATCTTTGTAATTTTGTAGAATCCATCAAGACCTTTTTGTCGGAGTTCTGCAAGTGCGACGATGACGGCAAGAAGGAGTTCGTCTACGGCTCGCAGCTGGTGAAGCTGGCCCATCGGGAGCAAGTACTGATCACCATCGATCTGGATGACCTGGCCGAGTTCAACGAGAGCCTCGCGGAAGCGGTGATCGACAACTGCCGGCGATATGCGTCCATTTTTAGCGATGTGATTGCCGAACTCCTGCCCAGCTACAAGCAGCAGGAGGTCCATGCCAAGGACGCACTGGATGTGTACATCGAGCACCGCCTGATGATGGAGACACGCACCAGGAATCCCATGGAGCAGCGCGACGAACGAAACAGCTTCCCCGCGGAGCTGATGAAGCGATTGTGAGTGGTTCAATTGAGGGGCTGATATCAGTTTTTATTAAGATATCTTATCTCCCTAGCGAGGTGGGCTTCAAACCCCTGTCCACGGAGAAGGCGCACTCCATTCGCGAGGTGAAGGCCCAGCACATTGGCAAACTGGTCACAGTCCGTGGCATCGTGACCCGCTGCACGGAGGTCAAGCCCATGATGGTGGTGGCCACCTATACCTGCGATCGCTGTGGCTCGGAGACCTATCAGCCTGTCAACTCTTTGTCCTTTACGCCTGTTCACGATTGTCCCTCGGATGATTGCCGAGTGAACAAGGCGGGAGGCAGGCTGTACTTGCAGACTCGTGGCTCCAAGTTCGTCAAGTTCCAGGAAGTCAAGATGCAGGAGCACAGCGACCAGGTGCCGGTCGGACACATTCCTCGCAGCATGACCATTATGTGCAGGGGAGAGGTCACTCGCATGGCCCAGCCTGGAGATCATATCGTGGTGTCCGGAGTGTTTTTGCCTCTGATGCGCACTGGCTTCGCCCAGATGCTCCAAGGTCTGCTTTCGGAGACATTCCTCCAAGCTCACGTGAGTTAAAACTGAACATTTTTTCCAGCAAATGATTGTAAATCTCTTAATTTAATATCCCCTCTAGCGCATCATTTGCATCAACAAGAACGACGAGATCTCGGACAAGGATGCCGAGCTGACTCCCGATGAACTAGAGGAGTTGGCCCAGGACGACTTTTACGAGCGCCTGGCCACCAGTTTGGCCCCCGAAATCTACGGACATCTGGACGTGAAGAAGGCGCTGCTGCTCCTTCTCGTTGGAGGTGTGGATAAACGTCCGGACGGGATGAAGATTCGTGGCAACATCAACATCTGTTTGATGGGAGATCCTGGTGTGGCCAAGTCGCAGCTGCTGGGCTACATCAGTCGATTAGCTATTCGCTCGCAGTACACAACGGGACGAGGATCGTCGGGCGTGGGTCTCACGGCTGCGGTGATGAAGGATCCACTCACAGGTGAGATGACTTTGGAGGGAGGAGCTCTGGTGCTGGCTGATCAGGGAGTTTGCTGCATCGACGAGTTCGATAAGATGGCGGATCAGGACCGTACAGCCATTCACGAGGTGATGGAGCAGCAGACCATCTCGATAGCCAAGGCAGGCATCATGACCACCCTGAATGCGCGCGTATCCATTCTGGCCGCTGCCAATCCCGCCTTTGGCCGCTACAATCCTCGTCGCACCGTGGAGCAGAACATCCAACTGCCAGCCGCCTTGCTATCGCGTTTCGATCTGCTGTGGCTCATCC